GGATTCCCTGATTCTATGGTTCCATTCCTGGAAAATCCTTAGGCCAGATGGGAAATAAATACCTTTACTTCTAAATTTGGGCTTCCAGGGCAAAGAAAGAGGATCTTTCCAGGAGAACACCAGCAAACCTGGATTTTGAGCCAATTGCTGGAAATCTGGGCTCTGGAACCACAGAACCTGGAATATCCTGAGTTGGAAAGGACCCACAAGGAGCATCCGAGTCCTCCCTCCATCTCTGCTGCTGGGCATGACGCAGCCATGCCACCACCACAGTCACTCGTGAAGAATGTCAAACATTCCCCTGGCCACCCCTGGGCTGTGTTATATAAAGTCCCTTCGCAGCAGTTCAGAGCAGGAACTGCTCAGTGGTGCGAAGGTGTCACTCCGAGTGTCCCCAAACCTGTTCTGCTCCCCCTCCCAGCCGGGGCTCTTGTGCAATTCCTGCCCTCCAGCAGCCCTGGCTGCAGCCGGGGGCAGGACAGGCTCTGCTGGCAGCAGGCAGGGAATGGCTGCCAAGGCCTGAGAGCTGCACAATTTAATCCTGGGCAGAGCCAGGCTGGATTTCAGTGTTTGCTCAGGCCCTGGGAGCGCACAGAAATGCTCCGCTCTGACGTGGGATCACGGATTTTGATTCCGTTTGTTCTTTTATGTCCCCACCATCCCCTGTGATCCATGGAAATCTCACACCACAGCTCTGGAGGTGTTTAAAGAAACAAACCAGGCCTAAAATTCTCCAAACACCCAAATTCTGACATTGCCTTGGTCCCAAGGCACTGGCAAAATGCAGGGACAAACCAGGAGCTTCCTTACCTGCTGCTCCTCACCACGGCAGGCCAAGGCCTCGTTAACTAAAGTGGCCTGCTCAGGGTTTTAATTCATGTTCCCTGACAGCTGGGGGATCAGGGGGGACAGCTCAGTTTGTGGCATTTCCCTCCAGACAATGGAAAACTGGAGGCATAAAGGGGGTGCTGGACGCGGAATTTGGTTTCAGCTCAGGCACCAGCGGGAGCTCTCCAGGCCTGAGTGCAGAAACCCAGGAGAACATTCCCATCCCAAAGGGTCCAGGCTTATCTAACTCCTTCTCCTGTGCATTTAGGGGGTGTTGTCCCATCCTCCAGGATCATCCTGGGGAGGAAGGAGGGGACATTTCAGCTGGAGGGCACTGGTGAGAGCCAAGAGGAAGGAGCTGGCTGGGAAGGGAGATGGGAGCAGGGAATCATGGAATGGTTTGGGTGGGAAGGGACCTTAAAGCCCATCCAATCCCAGGGCAGGGACACCTCCCACTGTCCCAGGCTGCTCCAAGCCCCCTCCAGCCTGGCCTTGGACACTTCCAGGGATGGAGCAGCCACAGCTCCTCTGGGAAATCCATTCCAGGGCCTGCCCACCCTCACAGCCAGGAATTCCTTCCTCACATCCAATCTAAATCTTTCCTGGTATAGTTTAAAACCATTTCCCTTTGTCCTATCAAGGCTTACATCTCTCATGGAGATGAAGCTCCAAGGCTGACAGCCCTGGGAAGCTCCCTGGGATGTCGGCAGGGCTCTGCCCCTAAGGACAAGGGGGTTTTCATTTCTTTCATCCTCCAAACCCCTCTCTGTGCATTCCCTGATGTTCCCAGCCTGCAAGTTAATTGCCCATCCAGGGACCAGGGATTTAGCATTAATAATCCATGGATAATTCAGCGGCCTGGGGTAAATTCCTGAATTTTTAATGTTTTATTCTAAGTCCACAGCACAGCTTTCAGTGCCAGGGTTTTTTTTCCCTCTTGAGATGGGGAGAGGGCATTTACTGAGGGCTTCTGGGTGTGCCACTGTGGATGTTGGTGCAGCAAATCCCTTAATTATCCCATCAGGTTCCCTTTCCTTTGTTTTTGATGTGATTGAATGTTCAGTAAAGTTGTTTTAATCCTGCGAAATCCCTGGTGGATTTGGCCGGGTGTGGCCTGGACAGAGATTTTTTATTACCATTATTTCTCAGTCTGAGAGTTAAAGGGAAGAGTGAGGAGGGGAATGGCCAGAGTTGGGCTTGGGCTGGAGTTGGATGGGGGTGCCAGAGCATCTGGATCTGGGAGCTTTTCCCTGCGGGACTCAGACCCTAGAGACAATGAACACCTTGGGAGGATTCTGGCACATTTGGGAGCTTCCAGCCCAAACAGGAGAACAAGGATCCAGGCTTGGAGCAGCTTTTTGTGGGGAGGGATGGTCCCTGCAAGCCTGAGGGATCTGCTCTCCATCACTGCGGGCTGGGCAGAGTCGTCTTTGTCTTCTGAAGGACCAAGCAGAGACTTGAGAGCTCTCCCAGATCGTTTTCCTGGCTCAGGAAGGACATGGTGGTTCCTCAGAGTCCCACGGGGGTGGTGCCTGTTGGTGCTGGATTTGGTGCTGGGCTGGGCCAGGAGGGGAGACCAAGATCCCCTGGGATCTCAGCAGTGGGGATGGACCTCTGGACACCGGCTGGAGCTGGGCTGGGGCTGTCAGGTTGGGTATCAGGGAAAGGTTCTTCCCCCAGAGGGTGCTGGGGCACTGGACAGGTTTCCCAGGGATTGGTCACGGGCCCCAAGGCTGCCAGAGCTCCTGGAGCCTTTGGACAATGCTCTCAGGCACAGGGTCGGATTTTGGGGTGTCTGTGCAGGGCCAGGAGTTGGACTGGATGATCCTTGGGGTCCCTTCCCACTGAGGGTATTCCCTGAACAGAGCAGGGCAGAGGTTGGAATCTCTTCTCTGCTGCTTTTATCCAAGAGGAGCTGCTGTGGCTGTTGCTTTGCTGGTGGTTTTTCCTCTCCCAGAAGCGAAGTTTCACCTCTTTAAGCCTCTCTAGCCTGGGATGGAGTGTGTGGGATCTGGAGTTAATGCTCCAAGGAATCTGGCTCGGCTGGGCAGTGGAGCCCTGAGGGCTCCTGAGGAATTTATCACAAAGCACCCAGAGTTTCTGTTCCCAAGCCCTTGACTCCTTGGCCAGGCCCCTACTTGAAGGGGGTCATCAGCTGAGTGTGTTGGAGGTTCTTTATCCATCCTTGTGCTTAGTTATTTACCCATGGTTATTTATCCATCCTCATTCTTGGTTATTTGTCCATCCTCACCCTCGAAGAGCAGCTGGAATCCAGGAACCAGAGCTGGGCTCAGTTTCCCTCCCTCCCTTGGGACCTGCCCGGGTTTCTCAGCCCCTGCCCAGCCCCAGGAGAATGAAGCCCTTGAGGAGCCGGTGCTTAAGTGGCCCTTAATTGATTCGGAACGATCCTGACAGGTCCTTCGGAATCGCCCCTTTCCACCTCAATGGCTCGGGCTGGGTCTGTGTGGATGCCAGCGCTGCTTTGCTTGGCTGCATTCCTGCCCTCCCAGCTCGTGCTTTCCTTTTAACCTTTCCTTTCCCGGCTTCTCTGCAGAATCCAGGAATGGGGATGGTTTTTCCACCCCGTTTCCCTGCAAAGATCCCTCACCTTCTCTGCACCGGGCCCACGGAGCCTGGAGTTTGTTGCGTTTTGTTTTTGTGTTTTTTCCCGGCAGAGTGCTCAGAACAGCTGATTAATGTTTTTGTAACTCTGTTATCGACGTGGCAAACTCAGGAGTGACTGGAAGGGCCTGAGGAGGGGCTGGAGGGGGGATAGAGGGTCTCAGCTCTAAATTGTCCCATTTTGAGGGAACAGAGAGCTCCCATTCCTCTTCATCCTCTCTCCTGGGGTCCAGGTGGAGCCTGGGCTGTGTTTCCATTGTCCCTTCCTCTCTCCTGGGTGCATGGAAACCACTTCACCCTTCAAAAGGGACAATTGTTTCCCATGTCGGGCTGCCTGTGGCACAAGAGCACATGTCCCTGTCCCCCTGTGCCCGCAGGCTGTATTTCACCCCCAGACCCTGTCACAGCAGTGAAAATTCCCTGATTCCCTCAGTGCCCCTTCCCCTGGGTGTGCCCTGGGCTGGGGGATCCCCATTCCCCCCCTGCCCATGGGCTTGGATCAATAACATTGATCAATAATCTGCCCAGGGGGTGCCTCCAGACCCTGCTGTGCCTCCCTGGGGCTGCAGCGGCCCCGAGGGGACAAGAGCGGGACACAGGAGCCGTGTTCTCTCCATGCCCTGTCCAGTGTGGGATTCCTCCCTCCTGCTTTCCATCCGAGCCCGGCCCAGGCCGTCCCCTCGTGTTCCTCTGCAGCCTCCAGCCCCCCGCAGCACCCCCAGGACATTTGGGAGCTGTTCCCATGGTCGGTTCTGAGGCAGCAGCAGAGAGGCTGCAGCAAAGGCTCCTCAGAGTCTCCCTCCCTTTTCAAATCCCAGTCCTGAGCTTCAGCAGCACTGGGGCAGCTGCTTCCCAGCTGTGGGGTGGGACTCTGTCCCTGCGTCCTCCCCAAACCTGGATCATCCCTGTTCCTGGATCCCCACATCCTCCCTAACCCTGGATTATCCCTTTCCCTGAATCCCCACATCCTCCCCATCCGTGCACCCTCCTCATTCCTGACCCTAAGCCTTCACCCTCCTGGGTGCCGTGTCTGTCCATTGTCCCCATCCCATCCCTGCATCCTCCCCATCCCATCCTATCCCATCCCTGCATCCTCCCCATCCCATCCCTGCATCCTCCCCATCCCATCCTATCCCATCCCTGCATCCTCCCCATCCCATCCCTGCATCCTCCCCATCCCATCCCTTCCCATCCCTGCATCCTCCCCATCCCATCCCATCCCATCCCTGCATCCTCCCCATCCCATCCCATCCCATCCCATCCCTGCATCCTCTCCATCCCTAAGCCCATCCCCGCATCCCCCCCATCCCGAACCTGTCTCTATCCTCCCCATCCCATCCCATCGCTGCCTTTCCCGGCTCCCCTGTGCCGCGGGCTGGGAATGGTACAGCCCTGCCTGCAGCGCCCGCTGCTCCGGGGACGTTGCTGGAAGGTGAAGGCTGCGGCTGCGGGGGCTGCGGCGGCCGCATCCAGCCCCGACACTTGCCAGGAGAAGGGCTGGAAGGGACCCTGCACCCAGCTCCATCCCGAGCCCTCCCGCGGCAGGAGCCATGACCCAGGGAAAGGTAGGAGGAGGCCGGAGCGGGCAGGATGAGCCCGTCCCTGTTGCATAACGGCGGGTTCGGAGGAGGAAAGAGGGGTGGAGGAAAGGGATTGAAGGAATAAAACGATGGTGGAGGGGGGAGCTGGGTACCCGTGCAGGAACCCTGCCATGGGGGAGGAAGGGGCTAGGGGGTGGAAGAAGCTGGGGGGCTGGTTTTGGGGTTGGGGGCTGGTTTAGGGGTGATTTGGGATTAGAGGCTGGTTTGGGGTTGTTTTTGGGGTTTGGGGGCTGGTTTAGGGGTGATGGATGCCCAGCTCAAACCCAGTTGGACCTGTGGCCGTATTTCCCCCTGCCCCTCCCATCCTGGATGCCGGGGGGCTCCGTGAGGTGTTTGTGCTGTCCCATCCCTGTCCCCACCTGGCAGCGCCCGGAACTTCCCCGAGCACCTCCTGCCCGACACAGGGGCTCGGGATTTTGGGGATTTTGGGGTTCTTCAATGCTCTCAGACCGGGGAGGGGGGGTTGTGTATCCTCTGCCAGCTCATGCACCATTGCCATGGCAACGCTCTGGATGCAGCTCCATCCCTCTTGATCTCCTTGCTTATCTGGGGGGGGTGTGGGGGTGGGGAGGGGGCTTGCATGATCTCGGCCCCCTAAACAGAAGGGACAGGGAAGGACAGTCCCTGGGGGCTGGCAGGGGAGGTGGCACAGCGGGATCTGCCCGTGGGACACATCGCAGCCTGGCCTCTCCTGTGCTTTCAGGGCCTGTGACCCCTTCAATTGAAGCCCTTCTCACTGGGCTCAGTAAATGACTGCTTGGTTTGGGGTTCACTGTGATTCCAGCCCCGCATCCCGGGGATCTGGGGGATGCCATTCCTGGGGTTGAGCTGGCTCCATGGGCAGCAGAGGAGCCCAGGCTGACAGCTTATCCCAGGCTGATTTGGAAGGTTAAAGGGATCATGTTCCCAAGGAGAGGCGAGTGCTCAGGTGGCCCCAGGCTGGCTCCTTGCTGCTATCCCAAGTCCTCTGAATGCTGGGAAGCAGCAGACCTGAGCCTCTACACGGGCAGAGAGGAAAGAGAAAATTCTGGAGGGACAAACCAGAGCATTCCTGGGAGCAAGCCCTCAAAATGGGTGTAAACGGGAATGAAGAGTTCAAGGTTTTCTGCCCAGGAACTAAAAGCTCTTTTTAAGGAGCAATGTAGGAAATTTGATGAGAAGCAGAGAATTCCTTGGATGTTTTTGGTGTCACGTTGAGCCTGAGGCACTGCGGGGGCTCTGTGTCTCCTCTTAGACCTCCCTGCCTGGAACTTCTCATCCCAATTAACACCTCAGGGGCTTTCCCTTCTCCCCTCAGTCATGGATGCCCCTTCCCGGGGGTGCAGGGATGGGCCCATGTCCAGTCCCCAGGAATGGCTGGGTCTCCCAGTTCCTGACCCCTTCTCCAGAACCTGTCCGTGCCAGGTTCTCATTCAGGGTGTTTTCTGGGCTGGTTTTATTCAGATCTCTCTCTTTTTGCCCCTTTCTGTGCAGCTCTCCGTGACCAGCAAACCCCCCAGCTCTGAGGGCCAGGGAGACAAGAAGGACAATGCCACAGCCCCCCCGGCTCCCCCGTCCTATGAGGAGGCGACAGCAGGAGAAGGGATGAAATCCGGGCCTTTCCCTGCCCCGCCGGCAGCCCCGCTCCACCCCAGCTGGGCTTACGTGGATCCCAGTAAGTCCTGCCATGGCTGTACTGGGGAGAGGGGGCAGAGATCCCCCCCAGGATTGGAGAGGAGAGGGGGAACCGGCATAAGAGGGGGATCAGGTGGTGCCCAATGTGGCCCAGGGCAGAGCTGCAGCCGTGAGCTGTGAGCCTCTGTCTGCACAGGAGAGTATTTATCAATGTATAAAAATCTCCATCTACCCATGAGCATCTCCATCTACACATCAAAGTCTCCATCTGCAGATAAAAGTTCATATCTGTAAATAAAAGCCACTCCAGCCATCCCAGAAGCCTCACCCCTTTCCAGATGTGGGAGTCAACTCCTTCCCAGTCCCATGGTGGGAGAAATCCCCACTACCAGCTCACTGCCCTGGGTGATCCCAGCTCCCAGGGCTGGAGAGAAAGTCCCGGAGCAGCTGCAGGGATCCCCCCACCCCCTCCTGCAACTTCAGCTCAGCCCCAGCTCTCAGAGCAGCTGAGGTGGCACAATTGGTGTCACAATCGGTGTCACAGCCCTGAGTGTAGCTGTTGGCAGCTGGTGGCAGAGCCAGGGAGGCTGGGACATGACTGGAGCCAAAGGCTGGATTGTTCCAGCATCCCTGTGGCCATTCCTGGGCAAACCAACAGCTTTTCCAACACCCAGAAGCTCCCTGAAGCTTCTGCGGGGCTGTAGCACAGGACAATGCCCCAGCTATGCCCAGGGAATGGCTTCAGGCTTCCAAGTGGGGCTGGATCAGAATGGGAAGTGACCCTGGGGGTGGCTAAGTGCTCACTCAGCACAGTTCCACTAGAGAAAACGCTGGAAGGATGGGATTTAGGGACTCCTGAGCCCCTGCCCTGCTCCATCCTTTGCTGTCTGTTCATCCAGCTGCAGGGATGGGATGCTTGGGGAAGGAGTGAAAACATAAACTGGTATGTCTGTGCAATATTCCAATGGTTTCTCAGCCTTTTCCCTAAGGAACAGAGGGGATAAATCCCCCCCAGGTGGCTCTGGGGATCATCTGGACTTTTCTGCTGTTGTGATGAATTAAGGTGGGTGAGGCCCAAATGGGGTGGGATAGGGTATTTTGGGTTTAGGGGGTGGGATGGGGTATTTGGGGTCTCCAGGTGAGAAACCCACTCCATGGGATGTCTCACACTTTACTGGGAGCACCTGGAGAGAAGGGCTGTGGATTTGGGGTTGTTTCTGTGCCAATGAACTGTCCTGCTCTGGCCTTGGGTGGGGGGACAGCTGTGGGGACACCAGGAGGGAGGAGGATAAAGCCCTCAGGATGCTGGGGACACTGCCAGGGAGGGAGGAGGCTAAAACCCTTCAGTTCCTCGGAGGGCCTGAGGTGCCAGCTGGGTGTTTAGGTGTTAATTGTGTGTTTAGGGGCTGGCACTGCTTTGGTGCAGGAGGCTTGGAAGTGTCCCAGGGATTCTGGAGGCCCCAGGTACTGTGGGCTGGATGAGGGATCCAGGAGAACACACAGAAGGTTCAGCTCCAGTGGGGCAGGGAGGAAGGACCAAAGGATTTATTGACAACAGAACAGAACCAAGGACTTATTTCCTGATGGGTGCACCTAAGTGAGGCTCCTTCATTTCAAATGAGCAACTTTTGACCAGGAAAACAGGAGAAATTCAGGATCAGGACCTTGAGTTTGGTTTTCCTGGTGTCTGCTCTGAGATTGAGAGGGTTCTTCCTGAAGGATTTGGGTATCCTTGAGCTTCAGGAGGAGGGGAAGTGTCTGTGGACCAGGCAGGGACAGGAATGAAATGCAGGAAAATGACACAAAAATCCTTCTGTGGAAACCCAGCAGGGAGAACTTCAGTGACACAGGAGGGGACATCAGCAAGGGAAGCTGAGAGGGCACAGAATGATCATGGAATCATGGAATGGTTTGGGTGGGAAGGGTCCTTAAAGCTCATCCTGTCCCACACCCTGCCATGGGCAGGGACACCTTCCACTATCCCAGGCTGCTCCAAGCCCATCCAACCTGGCCTTGGGCACTTCCTGGGATGGGGTAGGGAAAAGCAGCAACAGGAGTTCCTGTTTTGGCAAAGCAGAGATGACTTGTGTGGTGATGTGGGAGAAGATTTTTCTCACTGGTGGCGCTGGAGCTGTTTCTACCTTTTGCTCGGTGTTTAACTGTTCCCTGAGTCCCTGTGTGGAAAAAGGATTGAGGGATGGAGCTCAGGGAGCTGCCAGGAGCTGCTCTCAGAGCAGGGACATTGTTGACAAAAGCCACGATGCAAACACGGCTCAGGAGAGGGAATTCCCGCTGGGAATGCTGAGTCATGGCTGCTCTGGGGATGCTTTAATATCCAGTGAAGGGAAATCAAGGGATGATCCCAGCCCTCCAATTGCTGTGGAAGATTTGGTGTTTCCTCAGACAAGGATTAAGATTGGTGTTAGGATGGTTTGTGGGAACGTTCACTCTGTTCCCAGGGATGGTCCTAAGGAACCTCAGGAGTGAGAAGGGAGCAGAGGAACACCTGGGAATTTGGGGCACCTGAGCTGGGATTGCTCCCTGGGGTCAGGTTCTGGCAGCTGGGGGGGAATTGGGGTGGGAGCTGCTCTCTTTGGCCTCTCTGCAGGCACCAGCCCAAGCTACGGCAGCGGGGGGTACCCGGGGGACACGGAGCTGCTCACGACCTTCAGCTGGGACGACCAGAACGTGCGCAGGGTGTTCATCAGGAAGGTGAGGGAGGAACACGTCCCTTGTCCTCCAGGCTGGCAGAGCTGGAGCCCCCAGCCCTTGGAGGGGCTGGATTCTGGGATCCATGGATCACCTCTCCCTGCAGGTTTATGCCATCCTGATGGTCCAGCTCCTGGTCACTGTTGTCATCGTGGCTTTCTTCACCTTCTGGTAGGTTCTGGGTGTGTCCTGAGCCACCTGGGACCCAGGCCCTGGGCAGGTTCCTGGGGGTTGTGTCACACCTGGAATTTTTTTCTGAGTATTCCAATTGAAAAGCAAAGCTGAGGGAACACTCAGAGGTCACTCAGTCCTTTTGCTTCCATTCCCACCCACGCTCGGGGTTGGATCATCCATCCTGGGTGATGCCCTGGGCTGATGCTCTTGGGCAGTAACTGCTGGGTTTTCCCTGTGGGAGTTACCAGATCCCAGCTCCAGGGGCTGGGTTCCCTCCCCTGCTCATCCCCCTCTCCAGCTCGGATGACCGAGCGCTCCGGGTGTGTGTGGCTCATGTTGCCTCCAGAATAAATAATGGATCACTGCCAGCCTGAGGATTTGGGCTCCCTAATCCCCTGTGGGAGCCATTCCCGGCCAGATCTGGTGTGGAACTGGGGGACCAGCACTGCCCTTCCCACCTGGCAGCTGGAATTCCTCTCCACAGGCTTAGGCTGCTGAGGGGGTTCACCCAGGGCTGGGTTTTTAATCCCCATGCTAGGGCTGTTCCTGGGGTTCAGTGAGCAGGGAGTTGTGAGGGATTGCATTTTTCCTGCTCAGGATCTTTCCTTCTGTCTTGCAGTGAACCGGTCAAGGGCTACATCCAGACCCACTCTGCCTGGTACTGGGCTTCCTAGTGAGTATCCCTGGCTTTTCCTGCAGCCTTGTGTGCTTCAGACAGACTGGATGGGGCTGTGGGGATGTGGGAAGGGTCTCCAACACTTCCCAAACACTTCCCTGTCCTGCATGTGAAGAATAACTCCAAAGCATCTGGGGGCAACTGGGGAAGGTCATGGAATCATGGAATGTGTTGGGTTGGGAGGGACCTTAAAGCTCACCCCATGCCACCCCTGCCATGGGCAGGGACATCTCCCACTGCCCCAGGCTGCTCCAAGCCCTGTCCAACCCAGCCTTGGGCACTGCCAGGGATGGGGCAGCCACAGCTGCTCTGGACAAACAATCCATGGGTGATCGTGAGGTGAGCAGATGGAAAATCTCACCTGAATGAGCAAGAGACGTGAGAGAGGCAAACTCTGAATGCTTTTCCAAAAATGGCTCTAGAAACCAGGGTGGAAGCAAATACCTGAGTATTTCCTAGGGAAAACAGGAGAAAACTGGGGAGTTTCCAGGGGAACAGTGTAGAAGTTCCCACGTGAGACCTGGAAGGATGTTCAGGGTACCTTAGAGGCTTGATTTTGGGAATATGCCCTGGGAAGCTCCAAGGATCTCCTTGCAGAGCATCCAGGAGAACACTGTAGAACCCCATATGTGACACCTGGAAGGATGTTCAGGATACCAAATTCAGGGGGATGAATTTTGAGATTTTCCCCTTGGAAGCCAGGTGGTTGCTGGGGTTTCCATTACATAATATCCAGTGGATTTGGGGTGTTGGGATGTTCCTGGCCATGTCTGAGTGGGACTGTAACTCCTGGGGTGCCATCCCAAAGCTCTGAAGTTGGGATGCCATTCCTTGGCCCCCCAGACCAGCCTAGAATGGAGCTTCCATGTGCTGGGATCTTCTGGATCTATGGTTTCTGGGCTGCTGGCGGGGTCAGTGCTGCCCATTAAGTGTGAGGTGAACTCAGCTTCAATCAGTTCATGCCCAAACCAGGAGATGAGATACCGGCTTATATCACCTGGGAAAAGCCTTCAAACAGCAGGAATGGGAGCATCTGGCAGCTCCGTGGCACCAGGAGGGAACCAAAGGTGCTCCAGAGGGCAGCTGGGGTTGGAGAGGCAGTGTCACCTCACAGGGGACAGGGAGAGGAGGCTCAGCCGTGCTCAGGTCCCCACCTTGGCCTCTGGGGTTACCTTTTCCAGCTCCCTGCCCAGATGGAGTTTATTCCCTCCTATTTTCCAGTGGGAACACCCATGGGGCAGCTGAGGGGGGCTCTGCCCTGGAGGAAATTCCCCCTGGTCGTTGTCCCCCTGTGCTCAGGTGAGACCCCACCTGCAGAACTGCTCCAGCCCTGGGGCCCAGCACAAGAAGGATGAGGAGCTGCTGGAGCCAGTCCAGAGGAGGCCACGGAGCTGCTCCAAGGGCAGGAGCCCCTCTGGAACCAGGCTGGGACAGCTGGGGGGTGTTCACCGGAAAGAAGAAGGGAAAGAAGACCTTGGAGCCCCTTGCAGGGCCTGAAGGGGCTCCAGGAGAGCTGGAGTGGGGCTTGGGACAAGGGATGGAAGGGCAGGACACAGGGAATGGCTTCTCGGTGCCGGAGGGCAGGGATGGATGGGATATTGGGAAGGAATTCCTGGCTGTGAGGGTGGGCAGGCCCTGGAATGGATTTCCCAGAGCAGCTGTGGCCCCATCCCTGGAAGTGTCCAAGACCAGGCTGGACAGGGTTTGGAGCAGCCTGGGACAGTGGGAGGTGTCCCTGCCCTGGGGTGGGATGGGATGGATTTTAAGGTCCCTTCTCACCCAGGCCATTCCGTGACTTTGTTTTTTCACTACCCAGTGACCCAAGTCCTTCCCTCCATTCCACTCTCTCCAAATGTTTTTCCTGCTCCATGCCTGGATCTCCTTCCTAACCAGAGGCCTCTGTAAAATAAACCAGGATGTTTTCTGACTGCTGTGGTGGCACCTCAGCAGGAATAAATCCAGAGCAGACAGGGGATGGACAACTCCACTGGCTCTGTGCTCCCGACAGTCTCTTTCCAGCTGCTCAGCCGTGTCCAGTCTGGCTTTCCTGGTTTCCCAGTGGGAGATCTGGGCCTGGCTTTATCTCTGTGCCCTGCTCATGGCCCTGGGCTCTGCCATCACCTGCCTGCCTTGGCCAAGGGTCAGCGGCTATCGGGCGCCATCGGCACATCCGGAACCGCTGCTCCAGCTGCCGGGGAAAGCAGGGGAGCGGCTTCCAGAGCCTGGAAAAACACCCAGCTTCAGGCAGGAGAGCCTCCCTCAGCTCTAGGGCTACTGTGCTTTGAGAAGGCTCGAATCCTGGGAGACAAAAACTTCCTGACCTGGGCGGGGCATTTGGCTCTGCTGAGCCAGGAGGATCCTCCTGCCCTGGGCTTATCCCTGATCACTTTTCTGAATGGCTCCTCCTGCCCTGAGCCCTTCCCAGAGCAGCTCCTCCTGTCCTGAGCTATTCCCTTAGCCCTTCCCTGCCCTGGGCTCTTCCTCAAGCATTCCTGCAGCAGAATCCTGGACTGGGTTAGGTTGGAGGGACCTTAAAGTCCATCCAGTGCTACCCCTGCCATGGGCAGGGACACCTCCCACTATCCCAGGTTACTTCAAGCCCTGTCCAGCCTGGCCTTGGGCACTTCCAGGGATGGAAAGTCCAAAACTTCCCATTCCTGGAGGGATGTACCATGGGAGCAGCCCCCTCCTCCAGCACAGCCCTTCCAGCCCTGCCTGACACTGGTCACTTTTCCAGCCCTTGGTTTAAGAACCTCCAGCTTTCCCACCACCAAGCTGGAAAGGCTTTGGAAATGAGGGGAAAAGCCTGGCATCTCCACGTGAGAAACTCACAGAATCATGGAATCTTGGAATCATGAAAGTTGGAAAAGCCCCTGGAGATCATCAAGTCCAACCATCAACTCTCCACTCACCACTGGCCATGTCCCCCACTACCTTATCCACAAGATTTTGGACACTTCCAAGGATAGGATTCCACCACTGCCTGGGCAGCCCCTTCCAATGCCTGACCTCCCTTTCCATGAAGGAATGTTTCCTAAGAGCCAACGCAAATCTGGTTCCTGCCCTGTTTGTCATTAACACACTTTGGTGCTCTCCAGGATCTGAACCTGCCCTTGGCTCTGCTCTAAATCCAGCCCTCAGCTTTTCCAGGGATGTTTTGTCCCACGTTGGGGATGGCACATGCAGAGGAGGCCCCTGAGGGCAGGAAGGAACTTAGTGAGAGGGACCAGGGGTAGGAACCACCTTGATCCATGGCTGCCGGGTGTTTGCACTTCCAGCACCCCCATCCTGTGGGAATTCTCCCCTGCACCACCATCCCAGGCTGGTTTTCTCCCCCTGAACTCTCCCTCTCTCCTTGCAGTGCCGTTTTCTTTGTCACCTACCTGATCCTCGCCTGCTGCTCTGGGCCCAGGTAAAGGGATTGCTCTGGGATCTGGGACAGCCTGGGGAATGCAGCAGGAATGTTTTCCTCAGGTTTCCAGCCTTGTTATGGGACAGGGATGGAGCTGTGCCAGCACCGGGATGCAGCTGCTGTGTTTCCATGGGATCATGGAATGGTTTGGTTTGGAAAGAACCTTAAAGCCCATCCAGTGCCACCCCTGCCATGGATAGGGACATCTCCCACTATCCCAGGCTGCTCCAAGTCCCGTCCGAGCTGGCCTTGGACACTTCCAGGGATGGGGCAGCCACAGCTGCTCTGGGAAACCTGTTCCAGATGCTGGAAACAGCTGTTCAGGCCTGAGACAGCCTTGGGTTGCAGCACCTCAGGAGTCCAACTGCAGCTGTGACTTTGCAGCAGAAACTGTCGTTTGCAGCTCTGGATTCTAGGTATTAAACATTCCAGAGGATGTTCCTGTCAGCCCCCAGTGGAGCAGGAATATCCTGGGACCTTTGTCCTGCTGGCCCAGGAGGACCCCAAATACCCTGTGTCTCCCAGCAGGGTGACTGTGCCCAGCACCACCCCTGGTACTTGTGCACCAGGCACTATTTACCAGCATGGACATTAATTGCCCAGCAGGGTCATTAATTACTCTCACAGGAACGAATTACCCTCATGGTCACTGATTCCCTGGCACAGCCCCTGCTGACTGGCCCCTGTTTCCTTTGCAGGAGATACTTCCCATGGAATCTGATCCTGCTCAGCATCTTTGTGAGTAGCACATTTGGTCAGAGTGGGTCCTGGGGTCAGAGTGGCTCCAAGGACATGCATAGGGCTGCCATTCCTGGGGAAAAGTGGAAATTTCATCCTCTTCTTATCCTATGCTTGGGCTGAGGAGCTATGGTTGTGCTGGGATGGGAGAAGCTGGAAAAAAGGGAGCCTCTGTTTAAAAATTGCAAAAAATAATTGTGGAGTCTGCTGGGAACTGGGATTGGAGCTGGGGTGAGAACTGGGATGGGAACCAGGATGGGAACTGGGGTAGAAACTGGAGTGGTAATGGGTGGGAGCTGAGATGTGCTGGGATGGGAGCTGGAATGTGGGATGGGAG